CAAGGCAAGAAGAGTCTGGAGCGAAGTATCTCTAGCCCTAAAACAACCTCCAACCCAGATTGATATACCTTGCAAAACTCAAAATTGATGGAGAGATGATATACTTTCATGACAAAGAGCACCTTAGGAATTTCATGAATACCAAACCAGCACTCCAAAAAATTTTAAACAATATCCTAGGAAAAGACAAACAGGATCACAACCCCAGGAAGTCCAGCAGACTGAATCCATCAGGCATGACAAGAAATTAAATACAAAGAGGGAGAATCTAACAACAGGAAAAGGTCATGACAAGGATAAGTCAATATATATTAGTTGTAACCATCAATGTCAATGGTCTCAATTCACCATTCAAAAGAAATGGACTGTCAGAATGGGTCAAGAAGCAAGATTCAACAATATTCTTCATACAAAAAACACAATTCAAAAAGGAATTCATAGACTGAAAATTAAAGGGTGGAAAACAATACTTCTTGTGATAGGAACCAAAAAAAACAGCAGGAGTAGGTATCCTATTTGAAGATCAAATGGATTTCAAGCCAACACTAATTAAGAGAGACAAAGAAGGCTACCACATCCTTGTTAAGGGAACAGTCCAAGAGGAAGAGATGACAATCACAAATATATATGCACCCAAGTATATAAAATAAATACTAATGGACATGCAAAATCAAGTAAGTACTAACACAATAGTAGTGGGGGACCCACTGCCACAAATAGAACAACAAGATAAAAAGTAACAAAAGAGTAGAACTCAACCAAAATCTTGAACAAATGGACTTAACAGATGTTTACAGAGTGTTCCACCCCACAAAATCAGAATACTCATTCTTTCAGCTGCACAGAGGTCATTCTCCAAAACAGACCACGTACTTGCTCATAGAACATGTTTAAGTAAGTGCAAAAGAATTGAAGTTATCCCCTGTATATTATCAAACCATAGTGTGATGAAATTGGAGATCAACAGCAAAAGAAACTGTAAGAATTTCATATACACATGGAAATTGAACAACATACTTCTGAATAACCATTGGGTCACAGAGAAAATTAAATACATAGTCTGTACAATTAAATTAGAATACAATATATTGGAATCTATGGGACACAACAAAAGCAGTCATACAAGGGAAATTCATAGCACTGAATATGCATATTAGGAAAACAGAGAGAGCTCAATTACACAACCTGATGCTGAACTTCAAGCTTCTAGAAAAAGAAGAGTAAGACAAACCCAAAGCTCATACAAGGGAGGATATTAAAAAGATCAGAGCAGAAATAAATGCAATGGAGACTAAGAGAATGATACAAAAAAATCATTGAAGCATAGAGTTGGTTCTTCAAAAGAATAAACAAGTGACAAACCCTTAGCCAACCATTTCAAAAATAAAGAAAAGGCCCAAATCCATGCAATTAGGAGTGAAAAGGGTGAAATTACAACAGATCCAGCAGAAATCCAGAGGATCATCAATACTTACTTCGAGAACCTATATGCCAGTAAGATTGAAAACAGAAAAAATGGACAGATTTTTAGATACATATAAATTACCAAAGTTGAATGAAGACGACCTAAAAATTGTAAACGACCCAATATCAATTAAATTGAAAATGTAATTAAAGACTTATGAATGAAGAAAAACCCGGGTCCTGATGGCTTCACTGCTGTGTTCTATAAGACATTTAGAGAGGACCTACTGCCACTACTGTTGAAATTCTTCCATGAAATTGAAAATTTCATTCCTGGAAGCAAGCATCATCTGGATCACAAAAGTAGAAAAAGACCCAATTGAAAAGGAGAAATACAGGCCAATCTCACTAATGAACATAGATACAAAAATCCTTAATGAGATACTGAGAAATAGAATGCAGAAGAAGATCATACACCCTGACCAAGTAGGACTCATCCCAGGGGTGCAGGGATAGTTCAACACAAGCAGATCAATAAATGTAATACACTATATTAGTAGATCCAAGGACATAGCCATATAATCATCTCAATAGATACACAAAAAGTGTTTGACAGAGTCCAACATGCATTCATGGTAAAAACCTCACAGAAAATTGGAATAGATGATCTCTATCTCAATCTGATAAAAGCCATCTATGAAAAACCGACAGCCAATATCATACTAAATTGTCAAAAACTGAAATACTTCACGCTACTATCAAGACCAAGACAAGGATGTCCCCTCTCACCACTCCTGTTCAATATAGTTTGGAAACATTCGCCACAGACATTAACCAAGAGAAAGCAATAAAAGGAATAAAGATAGGAAAGGAAGGAGTTAAATTGTCATTATTTGCAGATGACATAATACTCTATTTAGAAGCCCCAAGAACTCCACCAAGCATCCTCTAGACTTAATAACCAAAGCCAGTAGAGTACATGGATACAAGGTCAGCAAATAAAAATCCGTAGCCTTCCTGTATGTAAACTACAGACAGAGAGAGGAACTGGAGAAACAACTCCTTTCACAATAGTATCCAAAAAAATGAAATACCTAAGAATCAACCTAACAAAAGAAATGAAAGACCTCTATGCTGAAAACTATAGCACTCTGAAAAAGGAGACGGAAGAGGATATCAGGGAATGGAAAGACATCCCTTGCTCCTGGGTACGAAGAACCAATATAATGAAAATGGCCGTACTTCTAAAACTACTACATAGATTCAATGCAATCCCAATTGAAATTCCAACATCATACTTCACAGACCTTGAGAAAGCAATCCAAAAATTCATTTGGAACAAGAGAACTACAATAGCAAAAGAAATTTTAGGCAATAAAGACAAGCTAAGGGGTATCACAGTCCTCAACTTGAAACTATATTACAAAGTTATAAAAACAGTATGGTACTGGCGAAACAGACCCAAGGATCAGTGGAATAGATTAGAAGATACAGAAACAACTCCAGACACACTCAGCCACTTCATCTTTGACAAAGGCGCCAACCATCCTCAATGGAGAAAGATAGCTTCTTTAATAAATGGTGCTGGCAAAATTGGGTTTCTACTTGCCAGTGATTAAAACTGGACCTATATCTCTCACCATGCACTAAACTAAAATCAAAATTATTAAAGAGCTAAATATTAAAACAGAAACGCTGAGCTGGGGATTTAGCTCAGTGGTTCTGCTGCCTGCTTCACAAGCACAAGGTCCCAAGTTGCACGTGAACTAGCACAAAGAATCAACAAATGGTATCTCTTCTTATTAAAAGCTCTGCTCAGGAAAAGAAAACATTAACAATGTGAAGAGCCAACCCACAATGTGGGAAAAATTCTTTACCAGCTGTTCCTCAAAGGTCTACTATCTAAAAGCTTTAAAAAAGATATAAAGAACTTTTAAAAAATCAGACCTCCCAAATTTAAAGACCCAATCCAAAAATGGGCATCTGATATGAACAGGTATTTCAGTGGCTTATGACAAGAGATTTTATTTCTCAGTCATGTTATAGTTTGCTACAGGTTGACTGTGACTCTGCTCTAATATTTTCTTCTTTCTGTAGTGATCCGTATTTGCGATGTGCCCCACTTTTTGTAGCAGTGTTGGACAGCTCTTATATGTCCTGTATGTCAGTTTTCCTCAGATTTTATTGGGCACAACAAATAAAGCGGTCGTTTAATAGGGACCACCACTTCAAATCACTTGGCCACGGGAGGGTCTGTGTAATGTGACAAAGAAAGCCAGCAAGGAATAGAAACATTCACACAGTTTACTGCACAGAGGCACAGTTTCCTAAAGGGGGAGGCATGAGTATAACTAAAATTGAGTCACTCTAACTAGTGACAACTGAGTTTACAGTGGATTAACTGGCATGTGATAAAGCAACAGTAACTTTGAAATACACAGGTATATCTCTTTAACAGATACTTAATATCCTGTAATAGTGGTGGTGAACCTATGACATGCAAATCAGTTTTCTTTTAAGACAAAAGATGTTAATGTCTGAGTTATTTTTTCTAAACCAAAACTCAGTATTTGGGTTTAATTGTAGTGTTGGCACTTTGCGATAAATAAGTGGGTTTGGGGTTGCTGTTTGGGGACTCGTCTCTAAAAGTTTGTAATAACTGTCCTAGAAATTGGATGTAGCTCAGTTGACACAGAACTTGAGGACACCTCTCAAGCTATATTGACTATCCCTCTGGAAAATCTTATTTTCTGAGACCATTTGAGGCAACAGTAGTAATAGTCATGGACGGGTTACACCAGGATATTAAGCCAGGCTCCCTCCCCTACTTCCCTAGGATGTTATTTTTTTAACAGCCATAATCACCTGTTAAGCTTCTTTAGCAATTATTTCAGAGAAGTTCTGACTTCACACCCAGGGTTCCAGGATTTACATTTTCTTTGGTAACTAATGATAAGCCTCAGCAGCCCATGAAAAGCTCTGATTCATAGCAAGGGCTCTGAATTTGGGACCAAATTCTGCACAAGACTAAGAGGCCATTGGTATAGGTATGTGTTTCTATCCCATTTTATGAGATGTGATAATCTACTTCTATTTAGGATTAATTATATTTTGAGGAATAAATCCTTTTGAGTTTAGAACAGTTAAAATAGTGATGGTGTATTTTTATAAAGTAAAATAATTTTTTGAGCTGCTTTATACATTCTAAATACAATGTAGTTTTGGGGATCCTGTGAGTTGATTTTTTTTTTTTTAGAAGTCAAGTTAAGGTTTAATAGCTTTGTGGTCAACATAGGAAATTGGGACCAAGAAAAATAGTTAACCTAGCTATCAATCAGACTTGATCACATTCTTCCTAGGGAATTTGTATCTGTCTCACCTTCTGTGTTTGGTTTAGCCTCTTGTGGGTGGCTCAGAATCTAGAGCTATGTACTTTATGGTTGGCATTCTTAGGGTTCATCCTAATAGTTGATATCCTGGGTCATATCCCTGTCCATTTTTCCATTTTGGCTGCAAATACTAACACTCATCTATTGTCACTGAGGGCAAGCCTGAGCCTTTGCTGGTGTAAGTGATGGAACACTTGTCTTTCCCAGGCTGAGCGTCAGGCCATCAACACAACAGTCCAAGGATCTGCTGCTGATATAGTCAAAATAGCCACAGTTAACATTCAGAAGCAATTGGAGAACTGCTGTTTGGCCTTCAAATCCCACAGTCATCGTGAGAGGATGCTCCAAAGTGACAGAATAGGTTTGTGCATCAGTGAGGGCCCTGTTCTAACATAGTGAAAATAACTGTCTCCAAAAAAGGGAAATAGTTTATATTTTATTTCTCAGAAGTTCTCATGAAGTTTTTATAATTTTAGGAGTTATTAAGAATCTGTCAAGAATTACTGTTTATTTGGGTTGTGTCTACTGTATTTACCATATTAGAAATTAAATAGGGAATTTAAAAACTCATTAACATTTAAAAACATAAATCCACCACATTTTAACATAAGTAACATATTTTTATTAAAATATATCTTTGCAAAACAAAAGAAAATTAGTGATGAGCAACTTCTACATTTCTGCAAATCTCTTTAATTCCTGGCCTTAGAAAGAAGCTAAAGTCTCTACTCTGTGTATGCATCCATTCTTTGCAGTACCATGTGAACTATGACTTCTGGAAAGACCTTTTAAAGTCCAGAGTGTCACAAGTCCCAGCTTGAGGGAGACTGATAAGTTTCTCGGGATGTAGGGAGCTTGTAATCCAAGACAATTAGTTACTCTACACTTTTGAGATGACACCATAGAGGACAAATAATTTGAGTGTTACTCTGTAATTTTGACTTTGCAATTCTGGGATCCTCTATGGCCCTGAGTCGGTACAAGAATATGTTGTTTTTCCTATGTATTTATGACCTTCAGTGTTCTCTGAAATCTGGGGCTGCACTCTTGAGTTGATCTCCTCATCACGTAAGTTCTATTGCCATCTTCGTTTATTTTCAAAAAGTTTTCTCTAAGCTCTCTTCTTACTGATTAAATAGTTTCTTGTCCTAACAAGTACATAGAACTCTTTTCCCCCTTTTATCACATGTCTGTACTTTTGCTTTAAATACCATTTCACAGTTCCTGGGATATCAAACCATGACTACAGCCATGCTTTAAATTTTCCCTGTTGGAAGTTAAGGAGGCTTGAGGCATACAGGGGAAGAATAAGATGCTGAGTGTGAGCAGAAAAGAGACAGATCAGCTGTTGAGGCTGGGATTTGCTATTTAAGAGAGAGGTGTGCAGATTACAGTGAATAATGTAGCCAGTTATGTAGATATAATAAAGTGACAGTCAGAAGTTATCAGCCCATATTTAAACTTAAAATCTTGAAAGGGGAAGGGAGATACCATACCTGACTGGAATATTTACTTTTCACAGCAGAGTGATGTGTCAAAATGAGGGTGTAGACCAGTGATGGCGAACCTTTGAGAGCTCTCAGTGACAACAAAAGGCCTGCTGCATTGTGTGTGCCATAGGTTCACCACCACTGGTATAGACAATAGCATGGTTTTTTTACAATAACAATTTTAAGAACGAGTGGAAGGCAATGTGGCTGTGACATTTCAAGTGACTTCGTGGTGTCAGAGGTAGGCTCAGGTTGGGGGAATCTAACGGAAGTGAACTCAAGGAGGCAGAGCATACAGAGACCAAGAAGAGCATGGCCTTTGGAGTCAGAAGACAGATAATTAGGGGAAATTGGGAGCACAAAGCCATGGTGATCAGAAAGGAGAAAAGCTAGTGTCCGGGCAGTCAGTGGTGTGCAAGAAGTGAGGCCTAACGGTGCAGATTAGATCTTAGCTAAACTGGCAAACAGATGAACAGAGTGAGAGCTATTTTAGCACACTTGGGCTGCAGTGACAGTGCAAGAACTCTGGGAAGAAAACAGCAGATACTGAAGGAGATACTACTTGGGCTGGCCATGAATGGTAAGTCAGAAATCTGGATGGTAGGAAGGAGGACTGCTATGAGGTATTGGAAAGGCAGGTACTCTACAGGCATTCATTTTGGACCTTACCTTGTGATCAGACAGCCACGGTCTGTCCACTAGGCCCAGCTAGTTAGGAAGTGGTACAGGAGCTCTTTGCCATCTTTAGTCATGGGTTCTTTTGAGAATCCACTGAAAAGTATGGATCATCACCACAGGAAAATGTACACACACAGACACTTCAATTCACGGATGCTCTGAGATCCACATGTGGACACTAGGTTTAGAAATACTTGGCTGGAGAATAGGATCCCACTGGGGAACCACCAGTTCTACCATAGTGAAGCTTCTAGCCATAAAAGATACAAGAATTCCCTCTTACAGATGACTAACAACACTAGCTTACCTTCCTGCAGCAGGAGTCAGACCCCTGCCACACTGGTCCTATGGTTCATAGACTCCATGGAAAGAGAAAATGTTGGTTGTTTTTGAAAAATAAGATGAGTTTAGAGCAGAGCTCTTTGTACCCTATTTACTGACTTGTTAGACTCCTTTTTAGGAGGGAAACTGTTGAGGATTTGAATTTATCTGAGGAAGGCTGGGAAGTAGCCAGCTAGTAGTTATTTCCAAAAGAGTTCTAAGTCTTTTGCATATAATCTAGTAATTAACATTTCTTGACCTTTGTCAGATCTTTAAACATAAAAAAAAAAAACAACCAAAACCTCTCCTGTGTCACAGTGACATGCTGCTTACTTTTGCTCCTGTTTAATGGCGTAGGATTATTACCTAAGAGAAAACTGCAAGGAATGTTCTGCCCAGTCAGAGGAGGCTTCTTCATCCTTCAACTCCACGATGAACTTTTATATGAAGTAGCAGAAGAGGATATTGTTCAGGTATTTTGACAACATGTGCTCATTCTGCAGAAAGCTAAACACCATGGTTCAGGCTCTGGTCCCTGCAGGAGGGCTCTGGAACCTTACCTTTCCTACACGGTGGCTGAATAAATGTTGCATCCTTACTGGTAAAGGAGGAGCTAAGAGTTCTTGGCTTTGTAAGTATAGAAGTTCCTGGTATAGGGGTATTTTTGTCCTACCGAAACTAAGTAAGAATGTGGGGTCCTGTGCTGAGGATTTCCAAGCTCCGAACATTCTAGCTAAAGCTGTCAGAGCTCCAGATCATCAGTGAAGCGCAGTTTAGATGCTCTTTGATTGGGCTTTAAGCACCATCAGGTGAACTGCAGTATGGTTTATCACCTTCTCAGTGGGTGGGTTGGCAAGCATCTTTTGGTTTGTTAGTGGTTACCTTCAGATTTTTTTCTTCTAGGTAGCTCAGATTGTCAAGAATGAAATGGAAAGTGCCATAAAACTTTCTGTGAAGCTCAAAGTGAAAGTGAAAGTAGGTGCCAGCTGGGGAGACCTGAAGGACTTTGATGTATAATTGTGCAGCTGACAGGTCTCCTGGGAAGAAGCCTGGTGCAGATGGTCAGCAGGAAGAAGAGAGAGACTGCCCTTTCACCTGCTCATGAAGACGAACTCTTTTAAGTCCTGATGAATGCAGGACAGAAATCTATAGTGAGAGTTTCAAAGTGCCTTTCAGGATTTGTTCCTTGCAATGTCCAAAAAGATTTTGGAGGAAGAGGTGCAAGTGAAGTACCAAATTTAATGCTTATATTCACTCTCAAAGAGTACCTGTGAATTTGTATCCACAAATGTTATAATTTATTGTGTCTTTAAATAGGTGCAGAACATATGCTTACAATATGCAGTTAGCACTTCAGGTCCTTATCTGTCTGGGTTGAACATGAAGAAAATAGAGCTGCCACCACAGGGGCATTCCCAGTCTTGTCCAGGATTCAGGCACTCACAGTAGAGACCCAACAGAGCCACAGGCTGAGAAGGATTTGGTTTCACATATACCACAAGGGTTAGGGGTGGTTTGTGATCTTTTTCCTTCAATATTAAGACTTTTGAGATAACATTTGCTACCGTAAGGCAGTATGACATAATCTGGATGGATTTCCATGAAATCTTTCTTACTCCCTTTTCTTCCCCAGTTCTCACAATGGAAATATTTGGAATATTTATGTATTAAATGTGAGCTAGACCTCTTGTGGAGGTGTCCTGTTTTATAAGATCAGATATTTATTGCAGATGAACATGATGCTGCAGCCCCTCAGTGCCTTTGTCTGTGCTTGTGACTGAGAGTAATACCCATGCTAAAAAGATTGAACTTTGTAACTCCAGTCAGAGGTGTAGAACTGACCTTTCTACTGTTGAAATAAAATGAATTCATGAGAAACTTATATCAGTGATTCAGTTTGTTAAAGATGTGTATTTAGTATTTTTAAAAAGTTGTATTTTTTATCAGGAAAGTGTGTTCCATGTTTATTTTTATCATATGAGCATGTAGGAAATGTTTTAATCACCTATAAGAAGAAATATTTTATGTAATGAATCAACATAAAAAAGATTTGCTTAATAAAGTGTAAAACATTACCTGTTACTGAGTATGAGGTACAAGGACACAGACATAGTTAGTGGAGTGGGCAGAAGATGGCAGAGGTCGGAGGGGAAAGATCATTATTAAAAAAGTTCTCACAGCCACTTGTATCATATTTCTCAAAAGAAAAACTGTAGTAGTCTATATGCATCCTGGTGAGCTTAAGATCTAGTGCAAGAGAAAAATGGATCTCTTTACCTGTGAATATTCTTCAGACAGGAAGACAAACATAAGTTACTTGTACCTCAGCTTTGTAGTCCTGACTCTGTACAGTAATGTACGTTTAGTAATGCACATATAGTAACATACGTTTTTCTCATCCTTTTTCACCTATCAACTGCATTTAAAACAGGAGATACTCCCTTTCATGCTTCATATATGCACAAATCCCAGTTACTATGGTTTACTTAAATAACATAAATCCATTACAATTCAAATTTCAATTGAGTATATTAATTCCATAAAGCTCAAGTGTTGCTGGTAGCTCTTCAGTCCATAAATCACTCTGTGAGTAACAGATGTGCATTGTGTCAGGCAGAACAGATGTCCCTGTCTCCAAATGTCCCTGAAACTTGCAAACTCATATTACACAGTGAAAGGGACTTTGCTGACATGATGAAGTTAGAATCTTAAGCTGGGGACACTGTCCTGGGTAATCTAGGTGTCTCCAGTGTGCAATCAAGGTTCCTCACAAGAAAGTAGCAGAGGGTCAGAGTCAGAAAAAGAGGTGTGATGACCAAAGGACTTGGAAAGAGATTTAATAATGCTGGCTTTATGGATGGAAAATGAGGCCATGAGCCTTAGGAATGTAGGATGCCTCTAAAAGCTGGAAGAGTCAAGGAAATGGATTTCTCCCCAGCCTTGAGAGCGCAAGCTACCCTGCCAACACCTTGATTGTAGTCCAGTTAAGACCATCTTGGACTTCTGACTTTCTAAACTGTAAAAGAGTAATTTGTATTGTTTTAAGCCAGAAAGTTTGTGCTAATTTATTACAGCAATAAGGGGAAATTAATGCATGCATCATGACAGATGATAATTTTGTCACTTCTTTCAGAGTCTGGGATTGGTTGCTGTATATATGGATGGCAAAGTGCAGTTATCCTGACTCCTGTCTCCTGGGATAAATTCAAGCGATACTTTACAGAAATGGATACTCGAAAGTAGATATTAGCTAGTAAAGATGTAAAATACACAGAGAAATGGACAATGGGAATGAATCAAATTGAATTATATACAACTATAAAGAAACTTGCTGCTCTTCAGCTGCCTGCCTGCCTGAGATCACCCGGTGGGTGCGCGACCTCCCGGACTGTGCGACAACAGACCCAGCAAGGACCCAAAGACCCTGGAGGGGATCTCTTCAGCTGCCTGCCTGCCTGAGATCACCCGGTGGGTGCGTGACCTCCTGGACTGCACGACAACAGACCCAGTAAGGAAAGTAGTCACGCAGGTGCCCTTGAAACCCCCCCACGACCCCCCCCCCAGTCTCAAACCTCCTGATTGGGCCAGTCCTTAGACCAATTCTGCAGAGGCATAGGTTCTCATGAAGGGTAGTTTTCTGAGCTCCCAACTTGGAACATCTTTAAAGAAAGGGCAGGGGAAACCTGTAATAGAACTGAGTGGAGTTCAACCCTGAGGGTAGGGAAACTCAAGTTAGGCCTTGTAGACTGTGTTCAGTCTCAGTCGTGGGGAACTGCCATTGGCTAGCTGAGACCAGGGGATTCAGTTCTGCATATGGCTGTACATGTGGTATAATATGAGAACAGAGACAGTCTGAAAAAGACTCTTCGAATTCTTTTTTTTTTCTCTTTTTTCTTTTCCTCATTCCACCCTAAAATTTCTTTCTTTTTCCTATCCTCTCTCTCCAACTCAGTCTCTTGCTCCACCATATTATCCCTCATCTCCCTTTTTATTCCGGCTCCTGCCCTAACTGAGACTTCTTCTTTTATTATTTTTTGTTTTTAGGAGGGGTTTCTCTTTATGTTCTTTTCTCCAGTCATTTTACCTCACTCATGGCTCTGTACCTTCAAGGGAAGGCAAGCGCCTGTTACTGTTAAGGGGATATATTCCTGTCCTTATTCCTGCACTCTCTCTATCCCCCCTGAACTTAATAGCTTTGTAAAGATAGTAAGGTAATTCTACAACCTCTGGATTCACTTCAAACCTGCTCTAATTCTTTCACTTATCTAATCCTCTTGTTCTAAGTCGAACCCCCCATCCTAAATGGTAAAGATGCCATATTGAAAAGAATATTCACTGCAAACATACTATGAGCTGCTTCTTGAAATTAATCTAATTCACATGAGTTAAAGGTGATACATTAATGACTACCATAAGTGGTCAGTTGGCAAGCTGTGCCTGATCCTATTGGGCTGCTGAATGTATCAATTGGGACAAAGAGTGGTGATTGATTTAAAGAGTTGTTTTCTCTGATATTATGAAAACGAGAATGTCTATGAGTCATTAGAAACTCAAAAGCTAAAACGCAACTATATTAGGAAGATTTAAGTAATACCCAGAAATTAAAGAAGGACAACCCAACAATAAAAATAAAAATGAGAAAACACTTAAGCAAGACACAAAAACAAATATCCAGTTCACCAATAGCAAATAGTAGGACAAATGAGGATGAAAAGTCTGATAGTGAACCAACAGGACTCCCTGGACCCATAGCACAGGAGGTAACAAAATTGATCAATCAGGCTCTAGAAAAATTCAAATCAGAAATAATTTCCCAGCTAGCCAGAGAGATGATGAGCAAAATAGAAGTCATGATTCGAGACTCTAGAGCAGAAACTGAGAAAAAAATAGATGAGCTCAAGACTGTGATAGAAGCCATGAAGACTCAGCATAAGAAAGACATGGAAACAATGAATGCCCAACAGAGGAAAGAAATGGAATCCATAAAACAGATTCAAACAGATATCCAGGAGATTAAAAACTCTATTGAAAGTGTACGAAACAGAATAAAAGATTGCGAAGATAGAATTTCAGATATAGAAGATAGGATAGCAGTCAGTGACCGTGAAAAAAGAGGTCTATTAAAAACAGTAAGGGATCATGAGAAATCAATCCAACAACTCCTAGACGATACAAAGAAAAATAACATAAGACTGATAGGAATTCATGAAAAAACAGGAGAAAACACAAATGATATAAAAAAGCTCTTCACAGAATTAATGACAGAAAACTTCCCAAACAGAAGGGAAGAATTAGACATACAGATAAGTGAGGCATATAGAACCCCAACTAGCCACGATCAAAAAAAATCTACACCTAGACATATAATAATCAAGATTCCAGAAATCCAACAGAAAAACAAAATACTACAAGCAGTAAGAGAAAAGAAACAAATCACATGCAAAGGGAAGCCCATTAGAATCACAGCAGACTTTTCAACACAAACCCTTAGGTCAAGGAGAGCCTGGAGTGAGGTATTCCAAGTCCTAAAAGAAAAGAATCTCCAACCTAGACTTTTGTATCCTGCAAAACTCTCTTTCAAAATAGATGGGGAAATAAAATACTTCCACGACAAAGAGCACCTGAGAAATTTCATGAACACCAAACCAGCACTGCAAGGAATTCTAAACAATATCCTAGAAAAGGACAACGAAATTCACAATAACATGAGGCCCAACAGACCAAATCAAATAGGCAAGGCAAGAAACTAAAAGGAGATGGGAGAAAAAGTAAAAAGAGTCAACAAATGGACAAAAACATGACAAGAATAAGTCAAAATATATCAGTTGTAACCATCAATGTTAATGGCCTCAATTCACCAATCAAGAGAAACAGATTGGCAGAATGGATTAAGAAGCAAAATCCAACAATATGTTGTATACAAGAAACACACCTAGTGCAAAAGGAAGTCCATAGACTGAAAGTGAAAAGATGGATAACAATTCTCCATGCGTCAGGGGCCCAGAGAAAAGCAGGGGTAGCAATCTTATTCTCAGATAATGTAAATTTCAAAACAAAACTCATTAAGAGAGACAAAGAAGGACACTACATCCTTGTAAAGGGAACAATTCAAGAGGAAGAGTTGACAATCATAAACATAGATGCACCAAATATGAATTCCCCCAACTATATAAAACAAATATTAAGTAACATGCAAAACCAAATAAGCACTAATACAATTGTAGTGGGGGATTTAAATACCCCACTATCACAAATTGACAGATCTACTAGGCAGAAAATCAACAATGAAATAATAGAACTGAACCAAGCTTTGGAACACATGGACTTAATAGATGTTTATAGAGTATTCCACCCCCAAAAACCAGAATATACATTCTTTTCGGCTGCACATGGATCATTCTCCAAAATAGACCACATACTGGCTCACAAAACAGGTCTAAATAAATGCAAAAAAATTGAAGTCATCCCCTGTTTATTATCAGATCATAGTGCAATCAAACTAGACATCAATAGCACAAGAAACTATAGAAACTTCACAAGCACATGGAAACTGAACAACACTCTCCTAAACAATCAATGGATTACAGAGGAAATTAAAGAAGAAATTAGACAGTTTTTACAAATAAATGAGAATGCCAATACAACATACAGGAATCTTTGGGACACAATGAAAGCAGTTCTACGTGGAAAATTCATAACATTGAATGCCCACACTAGGAAAACAGAGCGGGCTCAAATAAACAACTTAACGATGAAACTTAGACTCCTAGAAAAACAAGAGCAAGAAAAACCCAAAGCTCGAACAAGAGAGGAAATTATAAAGATCCGAGCAGAAATCAATGCAATTGAAATTAAGAAAACGATACAAAAAATAAATGAAACAAAGAGCTGGTTTTTTGAAAGAATAAATAAAATTGACA